CTTTTTTTTTTACTTTTTGGTAATGGAAACAAATTTTATAACCAATTGTGGAAAAAAAATCACTTTCATGGACAATTTCCATGTAAAACAAAGCCAAACGAATAGAAAATTTAAAAATTTTCCGGGTGGAAAATTATACCAATCAAACACACTTGAAATCATTTTCTCTACAAAACATTTTCTAGGCAAACCTTTCCCCGTAAAACATTTTCTTTCCACCCATTTTTCACCCTTGCAATCAAACGCACCCTTCAGGAAAGAAAGGCGAGAAAATATACTGCTTTCATATTATCCCCAAAAATAGAAATTGTAAATGGTTCCATTCTTATCCACATCATCCTTCATCTTTTTGCTCGAGGGGTGAAAAAAGTTAAACAGCACGACTAAGGTCTCTCAAAAGATTAAAAATGCCCCCACATGACATACATGATTCACAAACTAATGCAGCAAGATAACAAAAACTTGTTGCAACACATTAGGTAGATTTGCCAATTCTCTAGTTTAAGTCAGCATTAACATCGGGATACTTCGCTAGTCTTGAATAATTAATCATGTTTGCAGCATAGACTTGTGCTCCTAGAAGATTATAGAAAAAATGCACACTCAGAAGCACAACAAAAGGCATCGACACATGGTTTCCTACTGTATAATTGATCATCGCAGAAACAAGTCGTCTTCTCCTATCTTCCTCTACTTTCCTAAGCTCCTAGTCTCAAGTCTCATCAACAACTTAAGTTCATAATGCAATCTTCGGTTTCTAACCAAGTACTCAGCTCAGCTATTGATGGCACTGTGTTGTTACACATTCAGTTTTGTGACTTGTCCTTGGATCATATACTGAAAACCAGAAATTATTTTTTCAATCAAAGCAAGTGCAGTAGGGGAAGTAAAAAATGAAGTAGATACAAGAAACTTTCCATGCTCAAATAATTTATTTACATGGCCTGCTTCCCCAGTCTCATAGTGGAACAAAGTAAGGTGCAACAATGACATATATTACCCAATAGATTGCAGTACCAACAGAGGTAGAAAAAAATATAGCAAAACATTATAAAAGTGTAGAATAAAAATACAGAAGCCCAAAATTGAGAAAAGTAAAACATTATCAATGGAAACAAGGAGAGAATAGAAATGATTAACCTCGGTAGTCAACTCCAGAATTCAATTTGACAACAACAGGTCGGCCACGAATAGATTTCAGAAAATCAGCCGGAGTTTTTGTAGTTGCTGAAACCTTCTCTCCAGACCCGCTCATTTCTTCTTACTAAATGTGGGACTGCAAGCATATGGAGAATTATCAATCAGCATACCATAAGAAATGAAAAATCAGCATACATTTTTGCTTTAGATAACCAGAGCATACCTTACTGAGCACCCAACTGATAAATAATAGTAAAGAAAAATTCAATGATGGAGAAGATAAAAAATGCAGCAGCATATTCAAGCAATCACGTTCTCTATAAAATGGGAAAATTAAGGAGATAGGCCGAAAAACGAGGAAAAAAATAAAAAGAAGCAACTCCATTCACTATAACAGCAAGTGAAAAACAGGAAAGCATCCACAAAATACATACAAAATCAATTCCAAGTCGCACACATATAACCAGGAAGCCTTTTGACAGCAATTAATAATGCAATCAATTCAAAATATTATCTCTCAACAGCATCTTATTAAGTAAACCATTTATAACATACAACTAATGCTGTAATATTGAGCTGTACGTGCAGCAATGCAGAAATTAATAGTGGCAAATTCGACTAATCACGGAAACAAAGGTACCTTGATAATGACATTCAAATGTTTATGACATACAACTATAAAGTTCAGCAAGCCATGAACAATACTAAGGAAATCTACGATATGAAGTGGCTAACTACCTGCACTAATCTACAACTATGAGTAGGCGTGTAAGCGGTCCGGTTTTACCGGTTTTTGACAAATTTTCAAACCAAACCGTTTCGACCGGTTTGAGAAAAACTCAAACCTAAACCAAACCGTTTTGACCGGTTTGAAAAAAACTCAAACCTAAACCTAACGGTTTTGTCCAGTTTTAAACCGCAGGTTTCGCGTATATTTTTTTGCCTGTCTAGTGTCTACTTTTATGGCATTAATTCAATATATATTTATATCTTATTGGCAATAAATTTAAAATAAACTAAATATATCTATTATAAATTTAAATACCAACAAAATCAAAGTAAAATCACAGTCATATAATTCCAGAGACAACTTAGACGATTTTCATGTTCAAGAATCAAGAACACGCAGCTATATAACCAAAATCACAGAACTTCGAAAATAGAAATATTCAACAGGTCACAAAAGATCGCGAATTTGGGGATTTTCAAGAATCGAGATGACAAACTATGTTTAGTAATAATTTAGACGGTTTCTATGTT